CAACATACTATTCCTATTTCACTTTACTTAGTTTTTTCAAGGCAATCGGTTTGCATGCTTTTTTAAGTAAGCCCAACTAATTAGATTTTACAGTGTACAGTAAAAAATGGTCATAATATCTTTAAAGAGAGCTGCATTTACAATATGTAACCCTGTATGCTCGTATATGTTTAAGAATGTATAATAGTGTGTGTGTGTGTGTGTGTGTGTGTGTGTGTGTGTGTGTGTGTCTGTGTAAGACTGAGAGAGATGAAACAGTGTGAAGGAAACTGGGAGTGTGGTGGACAGTAATTAGACTATGTGTGTGTTTTTAGAAGGTCTGACGGAGGTACTGCAGGTGTGTGAAAGGAGGGCTGACCACAGTTACCTGACCACAGCCATTCTAAGTGACCAGCAGTCAAACACGTTTCCTCAAATCAGTATCAGTTCAGTCGAAACACCTCTGATTCTTCACCTCTGATCCCTCCCCAGGCCTGGTTGTATGGGGGTGCTAGAAGGTGCTATTTCTGAACTCAACAGCCAATAAGAGGCATTTAAGTTGCAATCCATTCAGTGCTCAAAATGCCAGAGTTTTTGTACAGTGCTGTACAGTGTTCTGCCTGGTTCTCATTATAACAAACAAAGTGTAGACATGGTGTTAATAAGAGATTCATTGTGCGGGAATATTCGGGAATGACATATAAATGTGGGATTTAATCTCAAAATTGCAGTTATTGACATAATGATAACCACAATGGGTGAGACAAAAATATACATCAAAATAAATGTGCATTAAGGTTAGAGCACCCTCACTAATTTCAGAAGCACCCTCAGTGATTTGATTCTGGAACCGGGCCTGATCCATTCAGAGACATCACCTATTAAAAAAACTCTATATTCAATAACTTCAATACCCGGAATTGTAAGGTCTTGCTCTTAAGTCAGTGCTTATATCAGCCATTTGTTGATCCCTGGTCTTACACTGCAGCTGCTCTCTCTCACTCCCTCTCTGTTTCTCATTCTGCAAGGATCAAGCAGGTAAAAATAACCCACTGCTCTCACACTTTGCTGCCCCTCTCAGCCACTCTTTCCCTTGGGAACAACCACCAGCCTGCCCTGCCCTCTGCCTCCTCTGGGCTGGTATATTTGCCTGTCTTCAGGGTTGCTTATCACTGTCAGATAGCTGACAGTAAGTACATTTACATGCACTTTAGAAATTGATTTCAGTAAGACTAAAGCAATAATTCACCTTTCTAAAATGTCATTTAAACGCTCATGTACAGATGAAAACTGTAGCTTGACTATGCAAAACTTAATTATACTCAATACTCAATTATATTCATGTAAATGTACTCACTGGCTATGCTGTCATTCTGTAAGCTAACTAATCAAAATATTACACCCCTCTCAGCCACTCTTTCCCAGGGGAACAACCACCAGCCTGCCCTGCCCTCTACCTCCTTTGGGCTAGTATATTTGCCTGTCTTCAGTGTTGCTTATCACTGTCAGATAGCTGACAGTAAGTATGTTTACATGTACTTAAGAAATTGATTTCAGTAAGACTAATGCAATAATTCACCTTTCTAAAATGTCAAGTAAACGCTCATGTACAGATGAAAACTCTAGCCTGACTATGCAAAACTCAATTATACTCAATACTCCATTATATGCATGTAAATGTACTCACTGTCTATGCTGTCATTTTGTAAGCAAAATAATCAAAATATTACAAATATTATGAACTAAGCTGTGGTTTAGGGGAATAATTTGAATGTTTAATTCTTAAACTGCAAAGTCTGATGTCTAACTCTTCATCCTACATTTAATAACTAAGCACTTGTACATCCGTTTGGATTTGGTGTGGTGTAGTAGTAACTCAACCTCATGAACGAACCTGTTTAACACGGTCAGGGTTAACAGTAGTCTGTGGCTGGAGAATGCTGACTGGTTCGGTCTTCTGACTGCTCTGAGGCATCTCACGAACTTTTTCAGCGATGAAGTTATGAACTCCATTCAGAGCTTCCACCGTACCCTGAATCAAACAAACACGCTCTGTCGTACCTGCCAAACACATACAAAAGAAAAAAACGTAACGTTAGCATAGAGTTTGCTTGTAAAATTAAAATGTAAAATATGTAAACATGTAAAATGAAATTGTGTATAATGTATAATGTTTTCTATTTGAATATATTTGTGCCATATTTTTCAGGTTTCTTGATGAATATAAAGTTTAATAATTTGAACAATAGTGTATATTTATTGAATATGAACGTAATATATCAATACAGTACACATACAGATACGTTAATAAAGCTTAACATACATTAAGTAAATAATGTTATACAAATATTTTGTTGTATTTGATTACATTTCTGAATTTGACAGACACTGTTATCTATAGCAACTTGCGCTGTATTCAAGGTGTACATTTTATAATTTCGTGAATTTCTTGCAAGCTGAACCTATGACCTTGGAGCAGTAAGCACCATGCTCTATTGTTTGAGCTATATTTCATAAGGTAATGGAAACACACATTACATTTTCAAAGAAACTATTCCTCCTTTCAGTATAAATGCATCTATCAAAAAGAATGAAAAGAGCTATTGCAACATAGGGGAAAAAGCAGATGAACTTATGACTGCATGATGTAATTCATTCTGAATGCATAGAATTCTAAACCTGTCCTCTCTAACCACATCACTCCCATGGGACACGCCACAAAAATGTCCAGGACACACACACAGTCTACTAATCTCTGGCATATCACTGTCCTGAAGCGCTTGACCTGTCTGTAATATTGCTGTAACTGTGAGAACCCAAAGAGCCCACACTGAACTGGACTTGTTTTACCATGACCAGAGAAATCTACAATGAGTTATTGTTACACAATCCTCTGCGTATTGTGTCGGCCTGAATTCAAGTTAGGATTTGTTCAGTCTTGTGGTGGAAAGCATCATTCAATGTCCTAAATATACTGTCATGATCATCTTCCATTTCATTTGGAGGGAGAGAGATGTGGGAAGAGAAGGCATGTAGGTTGTTGGTAGTGTGTGTTTGTTTCCAGGCAACAGTGCAGAGATATAGCCGCACTTGTGTGTGTTTGCTCCAGCACACATGCATACTTGACCAAGTGTTTGTTCTTCGGCTGTTTTTTTATTTTATTTTTATTTTTTTACATCTAGTTTGAGTATCACACCGAAGCTAAAAATTCTCCCCCAGTTTCAACATTGGCACTTCAAGATGTTGAAGGCTTACAAATAAAACATGCTCCAATAAAGTATGCACAAGTGTGTGTGTGTGCTGTGTTACTTTCAGTCATCCCCTCGTTCAGGAGATGTGGTTTGTGGTAAGAGTCTGCGGTTACATAAGTAAAAAAAAAACTGAATTGTAATTTAAATGTGTGACAGGCTACAGTGTTTGTTTGTTTGTGTGTGTGTGTGTGTGTGTTTAGTAAAACACGCTGGCTGGAGTAAAAATTCTTTTTATAGCTCTCTTGCGAGCCAGAGAGAGTTTAAATGTTTCCCTTTCAATATCTCATAAGATAAATGAGGTCTGGAAGAGAAGCTGCTATTATATCAGAGACCAGAATGATTTAGGATGTGCTGGTGTTTGTGCCAGAGCAGCACAACTTGTTGTATTCAGGGTTTGGCAAAATTCAGAATCAAAGAATTAACTTCCGTTCAATTTATCAGTTGGAATTGGAATTTAATTAAACTGGTCACGGCACACAGGAAGTTGAATTTGAATTGAAATGACAAGAAGAGAAATGTATTAATTATTATTTTTATTTATTAAGTTCCTCACAGGTCAAATAAATTTAACACAGTTAATGGTTCTTCCACCTTGGTCGACTAAAATTGATTTATTAAATATGATAATATGTAACTATATATAAACTTTAAAATATACATGATCTATCTATTTATCTATAGCATATAAAAACTTCAAAGCTAAAATAAATTGTAACAAATTTAAGAAAAAACATTACAAATAATTTTTACAAAATTCAAAAGGTAAAAAAAAAAAAGCTTGTTCAAGGCAACATGCAAACTTTGCTTTTTATATCAGAGTTATACATCAGTTATTTGAATTTTCTTGTAAAGAAGCTGAATTAAAATGAATTGAAATTCAAATTGCAATTTCACATCCTGTTTGCTACCTTAATTCAAATTTAGGATTCATTTCAAATTCAGGAACTCAAATGGAACTTTGCAGGATAATAAAACTGCACAAGCAAGTGAGAAGACAAGCGAGAGTGAGAATGTGTTTGTGTGTGTTGGTAGGGTAAGTAAGGGTGAAAGGCAGAACAGGTGGTCTCAGGATAGTTTTAGTTGTAACAGATGTGTTTAATGAATGAAAACATAGCTATTCACAGACAAATTATGCTCACAATATTCAGCTGTACGCTTCACAGCTGCGACACACACACGCACACACACTTTCTCGCTCTCTTTCTCAGATATTTTCTCTCCCTATGGGCACATTTTCCACTGTCATTCTCTGCCAATTTTATTTTTCCACGCTACAACATAAAGCAGCTTCTTAATGGAACATGGTGGAAAAGATACTATAGTCAATGACACAAACAGGCCAACATCTGTAAATGGCCTCATTCACATTAATCTACCACGGTGTAGCTCTAAGGCCTCCGTCAGACCTTCTGCATAATATTCAGAAAACTTACAAGCTTGTTGCTTACTAGTATTCTAGATTTTTCAGCTTGCAAAAATCTACTGGTGTTAAAAAAAATTATCAGAGGGAGTGAAGACTGCACAGAAAATGCAGATGTAAAACTCTTTTGTCCTTCATTCCTAAAAATACAGGCTCCAATTATTACCAAAAATATTAAAGCTTGATGCCACAGAAGAACCTCAAACATTTTTGTCTCTAAAAATCCTATACAGTGAAAAATAGTTACTGATAAGGAGAAGAAAGAAAAATCTTTATTTTCAAGAGTGTTTAGTGTGAAAGAGATTTATGCATGGCACAATTAACTCCGCCATCTGTTGCACAGTAAATAAAATGATTTAACTGTGAGGATTTATAACACAGATCTAATAACATCAATTATAGAAGTTCATTCAAAATAAAATAAATTATATGTTCTAAACTCTGAAATAAGTAATGTTCATCATTATTAGAGAAAGAAGATTTGATTCATACCTGGGTAGAAGTCTTTAGATTTGGACAGTTTGATGGTGGCTCCAGTCTCTTTCTGAAGCTGCACGATGGTTTGCCCCCCTTTACCGATGATTGAACCAGCGGCATAGCTGGGAATCAACACCTTCAGGAAATATTCACCCTCCTCTGCACATGCACACAAAAAACAAACACAAAGTTAGAGATGAAAGCATCTCAATTCTAATATTTTTAACAAATCAGACAGATGTCATATGGTCTATTTCCACTGTGGAAGAATGCAAATTAATAGCATCGCAGAAAGGTCTGAAATGTACATTAATAATTATCATTTTATTTTACAGTCCTGTTCCACATGTACATACTAGGTACTTATTATAGTGATTACAATATCTGGGTAATAACTAGGTACTAACCCTGAAACTACCCCTAAACCTAACCTTAACCCATGTAGCTACCTTACCCATTACTTTCTTAGGTAAGAACATTGTAAGTACACTCTAAAAAAATGCTGGGTTGTTTCAACCCAACTTTGGGTCAAATATGGACTAACCCAACCGTTGGGTTAAATTTTTATATTACATTTTTAACCCAACGGTTGGGTTAGTCCATATTTGACCCAAAGTTGGGTTGAAACAACCCAGCATTTTTTAGAGTGTACACACACTGCAAAATAAAGTGCTAATAACTAATACTGTTTAAATATACGTCAATATTTATTTTTGTTTTTATGTGCAATATGTAGTCATGTTTAATTCAGAGGATTTTTGGGATGTGTTACACATTTCTGCAAAACTGTAGTAAGATTATATAACAGTTTGAAAACATTATAAAGCCAACCAGAGGCCACACGAGTGCACCATCATTACCTCACTACAGCTTCTCCTTTTGAAACAATATACAAACTAAACATTTGACATCTCCTTTTTCATTTCTCTGTATTTCTTCCTTCACTTTTTCTCACTCTCTTTCTCTCCCTGATGAGTTCCTACTGATTCTGCCTCTGTCCCACTTTTTCCCCATGCAGAGATAAAGTGACCTGCTTTGGATTGGTAGAGGTCTAAATTTAACCAAACTATCTCTGTGTTTTGTGTCCTTCACTATCTTCTTCACCATCTCTCTCTCTCACACACACACACACACGGTCGGCCAGCCGACAAACCGCTCAGATGCTCAGCATGGAGGTTCAGTGTCACAGTCAGAAGTTGAGGTTTAAGTGAAAGTGTGTGGCGGGTGGTGTGTAGGCAGTCTGTAGCGTTTCACTATACTGAGGCCGTGGGCTTGTGGGTAATTGCCTGGAAGGCTGTTCAGGCAGGAGCATATGGATGCTAAATCCTCAGATTTGTCCTGAAGAACCCAGCCAACAGCGCATAAGTCACTCAGAGGTTCCCGGGGGGACGAGGCTTCCCTCTCCAACCACAATATTACACATCCTAAACACAACATATGGCCCAGAGTCCATTGCTAAAACAAGTGAAGAACCAGAAGGTGATTACAACACATCAAAAATATCTATTTTTTTATACAAGGGTCATCAAACTCCCTCACCACTAAACATGCAAATATATTCCATCATGACATCATACCGCTCAAGTCATGTTGAATACCTGATGTTCCCCTCTAAATGTTACTGTTGGCATAGCTAGAACTAATCAATAACTTTTTAAATTTGACTTGCAGCTAAGATGGTATTTCTTGTTTTCAGTACATTAGCCCATTATGTGACAAAATGGAAGAAGATGCAAAAGTACATCATGTTTGTGTACTATATCAGTGTCTTTCAGAGACTGTAGTAAATCCAAGAGATAAGATGGGTTTCGCAGACTCAAATGCCCCCAATCTCCAGCAGCTGACCCTTTACCACTGCAGAGAGAGTCAGAGATACAAGGAGAGAGAGAAACTGCAGGATAAGAGCAAACGCTAATAATACATAAAAAACATGGAAAAATATGGAAGGACAAGCTGGGATGAGAAAGATTTGTTAGGAAGGAAGAAAGGAATATTCGACAGAAAGGAAAAGACTGTTCCAGAGAGTGGTAGAGGAAAACAGCGATTAGGAGGGGAGAGGACAGATGAGAAGAAGAGGAGAGGGGAGGGGCGGCAGGGAGAAGGTTAAAATATTATGGTCTCTAAGCAACTCTGATTGACTCTCCTGTGGGAACGTTTGTTTCATTCCAAAGAACACCAAAGTCCACTACATGCCGTACACATCACCGCTTTCACCTGTACCCTAATGCTGGCTTGACTCATCAAGTTGGGAGCGACGTGTGCAGTTCTTCCAGAAATACAGCACACAATCTCAAAACCGGAAGGCCAATTTGGTCAATACATGATCAATCGTCCTATCCAGACAATCCCATTAATACCAGAAAATCAGGGAATCTGGGAAATCAAGAGAAATATAATTGTCAGCCCAAGCATATATAATCAAGCCAAGAGTGGGCGGGCCAGTTACTAGATGGCACCAGGATCAAAGCGAACATTAGATTCAGTTGTAATACATTATCTAGCCTAACAGGAAGACAAAAAAACAGGGAAGAAAAAAGAAAAAGAAAAAAAAGAAGGAAAGAAAAAAGCAAGCTCACACACAGTATAAGTCGCTTAAGCGCAGCTGAACGTGCAATGCATAGTTAGAAAGATACCCGAGCAGAATTTTAATTGAAAAGACAATTTGAGAAAAACAGAGTGACCCAGTCACTCACGTCTCCATACATTCCTATAGAAATGCATGAAACTTTGGAAAAAGGAGAGTAAAAACTGCATTCCCGTCTCTGTTATACAGATCTAAAAGCTGTTATCTGCAGCATTGCTATTCTTTTGTTCATCCCTCTCTTTTCTCTCTCCCTGGCTGACTGGCTTTGCTCTGTGCTCAGTCACTCTAGAGAAAATCATTTGTTAAATGAATATGTGCAAATATGTCAGAGGGTGAGAGATTTATTATTCTCTGCACTGGGACTGACCTCAGGGTTTCTCGATAAAACAGGTGCAGCGCACTACAAATACTTCATCTTGTGACGACATCGTACACAAACGCTCACCCAAGGACACTAGCTCCCTTCGTAGGGCCCTGGAGAGTGGCCAGTGGATACAACTGATATCTGGACGGAGCCTTGCAGAGCGGTTCAATCTGTACCTGTCCTCTGCAGCGCTCCAGGTGCGCAGTGGGATATGCATTACGTCATTGCCTCACCCGACTCAATGCTCCCTGCCACACACACACACACACACACACATGACTGACAGGTAATGATAGGATTCCAGTCCACGATGCTCGCTGCAGCCGATCAAACACACACATACACACACACAGAGCTGGGCAGATCCCGATCTTATCAATGACTGGTCTGTTAAAGAGGAGGGTGCGAGTGTGAATGGAATGAATGCAGACACTGTTAGTGGGACCATTTAATGAGGGCAGTTTGCAGTGAACGGAGGAAGAGGACAGGACGCAGTGGACACACGCTCAGGAATCCATGATGGAGGTTTTTGAAGAGCACAGCCGGAGGGGAGATAAGGAAAGAGTGAGTGAGTTTATAAGAACGGAAAAGATAGAGGAAGGGCAATCAGGGCTCTTGCGATCACTGAAGTACGTTGCACCAGCACGCCACAGCGTCGTAGGAAAGCGAACCTCTGGCAGTCGTTTTTTACAGAGAGGCGGCGTGGGGACCATTTGACCTTGGCTGACAAGGAACGGAAACTTCACTCTCTCCATCGCGGCCGCTTCACAATTGTTTCCAAGACGACTTGGAGGTGGCATTCTGAAGGCGCAAAGAGCTAACGGGAAGGTCTGCTGCCGCTTACCTGTTGTTAAGAGGAAAACCTAGGGCACATTCGCATGCAGCAGTGATTTGAGAATGGCGAGCGCTTTGGGAGCGCTCCTCACCCGTGCACTCCTGCTTGCGGCAATGATGTAAGGAAAGCTGGTGTAACAGGTTTTCAGCAGTGAGTGTCTGAGTAAATAATACAATCTGTTGCTGCTGTTTGCCAGTTAGCCATACTTACACAGCCGCTAATGCAGTCAGACAGTTATGGGCTCAAACCTATGATTACACATAGCACATAGAGTGTGAACAGAGTGTCATGCAAACACACAGAGGGAGTGGGTCAAGAGGGATTGCATTGTTAACCCCCCACCACCATGTAACACACACACACACACTCTGCATGTGAAAAGGAGGGCCTGTCCTAGGTACACTGCAAGGACAAGCAAGCCTCTCCTTCCCACAGAATGAATGAAGAGACTATACCCAACCAGCGGGTGCGGGTGCGCGTGTACGTGGCAGGGGGAGGGCGTATGAGCTCAGTCCCAGGGTCATACTTCATTTGCATAGTAGCTTTTTTCAGCTGAGCTTGATAAATTCTCTACATATCCATACTAGGTATATCGATGCGCTCTGCTGGGTGTCTCGGATGCAGCATGCAGCATGGATGCTTCTGTTCAGGCAAACCGATCACGTTCAACACATCCACTGGACATTCTAGAATACATGAGCCCTCTCTCTTTCTAGCCCCTCCTTTCTCCACCACCTGCCCAATTCACAGTCAACTCACGTCACCACACACTGCAAGGGCACCTGTGTCCTTCTCTCACTTGCTTTCGTTCTCTCTCACTCGCACCTTTTGATCTAATACGGAATCACACAAAAACACCAACACAAATAGCTCTGCCAAAACCTCCATTAGCAACATTAACATGGCATTTCAATTGCGACTCGTAAGAGGCCACACACACACACAGACACACACAGAGTAACTAACTGTGTGCGCACTGGTGAAATTAGCATCAGCAATCAATGGCTGTTTACAAAAGGGAGGGTACAAAGAGGATCTCAATCACTGACCGTCCTCTTCATCGCTCTCTTCGGGTCAAAGGTCATGCAAGGGGGAAGGGCTCATTCACTGATAGGATTATGTTTTAATTAACAAAGCTAGATAGGTGAACAGAATGAATGATGGTCTGAACTGCTAATGAACAAAGAAATAACTTACTGACTAAATAAAAGACTGATCTCCAAACTGTGCTTAATGGGATGCTTTGACAAAAGCTGTCATACTCACTAGTAAAAATTTTCATCATTATAGCAGTCTCTTTCTTTCCCTCCGTTTAAATTGGCACAGTTTTTTCCTATAATTTCTACTCAATTTCAGCTTGATTAGAGTTTCAGATAGATTTTCTGCATCAATATTAGTTCAATTCAAAGTAGTTTAAAAATGCAGTTAATGCATCACTACAGGTTGTAAGCTCTGCAATGATTTGATTTTACTTCACTGAAAGTCATTTAATAATTTTTTTTACAGTGCATAATAGGACTTAAGCTAGCTAGCATTCAGTTTATTAATGTTTACTATTAATAAACTAAAAAGCTTAAACACTATACAGTTGGTAGAGGATTTGTACGTTTTTTTAAATTATATAATTTGTCCCATTATTTAGCATAATAGGCTATTACTGCTACTACTACTACTACTACCACTACTATGTTAATAATAACGTTAATTGTACCACTGCATTTATATAAAGCATATTGTCAGAAGTCAGAATCAAAATATCAATGTAAATTATCTACACAAATAGTGAGTACTAATTAGTAAATTTGCTAGTTAATATCATTGGTCTATAGTTCAATTGTCTGTAAGATTAAGAAGTCGAGGCCTCAACGAATTAAACACTTACATTTCCCTAAATACAACCCTAAAACCCAACCCTTTATAACACACTCGGCTCACCTCATTATCTCTGAACAATTAAAAAAAAAACATAAACTGTGCATAATCTATAAAACGCGCGCGGCAGTGTGTCCCTATACTGTAGTGCAGGGTGATAAAACAGTCGCTGGACAGCTGCACCGGGGCTCCACAGCGTGAAGCGCCGCCCCGTGAGCAAAACTGACAGAAATGTTCACTTACAACGTTACTGAGACGTTCTTTTAGCTTCCCTCCAATCCAAAATATCCAAAATACGCACGTACACTGTAAAAAAAAAAAGCGCTCTAGAACTGAACTTTGTGTTTATCACGTGACCTTCTCAGCTATTATTTAAAGAGCACTGACTCAGACCAACGTCTGAAGAAATGTGGATCAGTATCTGAACCGGACACAAAATCCTGCCTAGAAACTGAGTATACTTAATATACTACGTCTATTTAAAAGACTTAGTACATAAAGAAAAGTAATAGCCGTTTTGTTTTAAGTGATTTATTATCAGAAACACCTCAAGGAAACTTTTTTCTAGATCAAGATGGACCCTAATGCTTTTTTTTTTTCAAATGTATTAAGAGCTCCACACAACGATATAGAGGGGAATTCAATCTTTTGTTTCCACTGGAGTCTGTTACTGCATATGAATAGGGATTAAACTACAGCAGCATGTGCGCTTTCTCCCTTTCATTAATTTTCTGCTCAATTTAGCTTCAGTCCCAGAGGGACGGCAACCACCACACTGCACATCACCCCACCGGGTCATACAGGGTCAGGCTGGACAGATGTGACCCGTTTTGTAGTATTAATTGTATGTAACGCTTCTGTAGGATTTTATTTCACAGGTGCTGAAAACTCCCACTTTACAAACTAAAAAAAAAAAAAAGACAACCCTCTCAAACCCTACATCCTGAACCCCCCGCAAAGTTAGAGTAGTTATTTAGATAAGCACGCATAAAACTGGACCAGGCACGCGACTCGAGCATACTGGAGCGTCTCGTTTGACGACTTATTTGGAGCAGCAGGCCTAGCGCTACCTGAACCCCCGCGAACTGTCGTTCTCACCTCCGGTGTTGGAGCGCTTGGTGCTGCTCGCCTCAGTCGGTGTTTCCAAGGGTCTCTTTCGGGAATCGGAGAGATCCGGGTCCATGTGTGGCGACTGGGAGAGGTGCTGAGGAGTAGAAAAGATCCCGTTCTGCTGAACTGCCCCGCCAGCCATCATTTTGTCACCGGCTGGAGTTTACACCACGTTAGCGCACCGAAACCCGTTAGAAAGCACATAAAAATCGGTCAGCGTCTCCTGTCCGAATGGATTCTAAGAGCTTCAAATGTCATAAAAATGCCATGCTGCGGGGTCGCTGAGCGCGTCCGTTTCTGCCTCGCTGTCCACTATTTCCCGTTGGGAGAAGAGGCGCATTAAAGCTCTAAATATAAAAATCCATTCAGTGAAGTCTATTCATTAGAGCGCACCCGACACTTGAGACGCCTGTGTGTTTAACCAGCCCTCACGCACACGCGCAGCGCCCTCTCCAAAAAGATTCTCGCGACCATTGCCTGACAAACTACTAAAAGATAAACAAATCAAGATTCACTCACAGAACAAAAAGACAGTTCAAAACAACATTGTTTCGCTCGCTCTTTTTCGGTCTCCGCGCAGCGGTGCCGGGTTTTGAAAATACTGTATTGCTGTTGACGGTGTCAGTCCGTTTGTTTCGAAGTGTAAAGGAGAATATTTTGTTTCAGAGATGCGAGTCTTGGCCAGCGCGCGGCAGCGTCTGCTCGGGTTACAGAGCTCTCGCGCAGCATCGCTGGACCAATTGTGAGCCAGAGCGCCAGAGCCCTCCTGACGTCACGGGCCGCAGCCTCCAAAAGAGCTATTCGACGGCAGCAAGTTTCAGACTCACTAGTTTAACAACTTGTTCTTTATCTAAAACTCTCCAAAATTATAATGCGAACATAATAGCATAATTACATATAGGGGTTATTAAATAAAGAGCAACTTTTAGGTGCTACAATGTGGAATAAATTGCATTTAGCATAGCCTACATCGAATTCCTGCGACAACACCGCAGATTATTTACGAGTACAAGACAACGAACATATGGTGAAACCCTAGACTTAATGTTCTGAATATATTTTGTATATTTTACATTTAATCACTGTAATATTTTTTAAGTAATTGATAGCCATCACGATTTCTGTTTCTTTTATTAATGGAAAATTAATGCATTACTAGCATCTTATATCACTACAAATGTAGTATTTTTTTAAACGTTGAAAAGTGCCCCAGAAATAAAAATAACATGTATATGCAATACAACAACTACCAAAAATAACTGGGGAAAAAAATTCACAGATTAAACAGATTGTCTTCACAAATACCACGTGTAGTCTTACAATTTTTGCAATTGCATAATTCATAAAATCTGCATTAAATACAGGTAATCCACAGGGTAATGTGATATAAACTTCCAAAACAGCAAAGTTTCACATACAGTTTATATGTAAGCTATGGAAACCAGTTTCCGCCACTGAATGAAAAATTTTTTTTTAAAGTTATTGCGACTTTTTATCTCACAATTCAGAATTTTTTTCTCAGAATTGTGAGATATAAACACATAATTGCAAGTTATCAAGTCAGAATAAAATTGCGAGATACTTTGCAATTCTGACTTTTGTTCTCACAAATTCGAGTTTGTATCTTGCAATTCTGACTATTTTTCTCACAATTCTTACTTTTTGTCTCAGAATTGTGAGATACAAATTCACAATTGCGAGTTATAAAGTCCAATTCTGAGGGGGAAAAAAAGACTGATATGTTCTCAGTAGAGCCCGACCGATATGGGTTTTTTGGGGCCTCGGCGACAGGCTCATATCGGCCGATAATATCGGCAAAACGATATATCAGTCGGGCTCTAGTTCTCAGAATTGCAAGTTTATATCTCACAATTCTGACTTACTCACAATTGCATGTTATAAAGTCAGACTTGTGAAATATAAACTTGCAATTCTGAGAAAAAGTTCACAATAGCGAGATATAAACTCACAATTCTGAGAAAAAAGTCAGAATTGTGAGTTTATATCTCGCAATCCTGACTTTATTTCTCAGAATTGCACGTTTTTTCTTGTAATTGTGAGCTTATATCTCACAATTCTAAGAAAAAAAGGCAGAATTGCGATATGTAAACTCACAATTACAAGAAAAAAAAAGTCAGAATTGTGAGATAAAAAGTCGCAATTACCTTTTTTTTCAGGGGCGGAAACGGGCTTCCATAGTAAACAACACCACATCCAAAGTAAAATTAAGGCTATATATAATTAACAATGTGTTTCCTATTAAACAGTTATCCACACAAGAAAAATCATGAACTGACAGTGTAATCTTGTTGGGAGTGTTCACAGGCCATTTCACAAATTCAAAGAAAAACATATCACACAATAAAGCTCATAACATGAAATCACCAATCCTAATTACTTTAGTCAGTAAACTTTACAATGTTTACATGGTCCAAAGAAAATATTGCATTTGAAGTGATGTAGCTGTTGGCCCAAAACATAAAAAATAAACAATATTAATATAAAAATGTTACAGTACAACTAACAATCCCTGGTGCTTGCAATTAATTATGTACCATTCTCCTTCCCAGACTTATATGGAATTGCAAGTATTACCACAACTGACCAGCCACACACTCAAAGGCAGACCTCTTCCTGTGTCAGACTGGGCTGCCAGTTTCACGGAGAGCCTCTTGAGCTCCTTGCAGTGTCTCTCTTTTCACACATTTCCAATAACCAGAAATACCATGCTGGGGCTGAACCTATACAACACACAAGTGCAATCTACAGTAAGTCTACCGGTTACTGCGCTGAGCCACTTACACGCAATCACAAAGATTAATAACTACTGTCAAAAGATTTGGCTATAATTGCTCTTTGAATTATTGTCCATCATGTGCATTGTTGTTTGCACAGACATTAGCATTTATGTCAGATTTTAGTACCAATAACATTTTTAACACTAATGATATTTACCAAATGATTAATACCATAACATGGTAAATTAGCTAAATGAAACTATGGAAATTAATAATTCATTATCAATTAAAAGGGCCAAATGTTTCTCACCCTGAGTCCACGAAGTACTCTGTCTTTCATCACAGCGAGGAACTCTTTATGGCTCAGGCAGTTGTCACCGTCCAGGTCAAAGATCTTAAAAACTGTGTCCAAAACGTTCTCTGAAAGGTCGTGGCCTGTCGCTATCTTCACTGCTCGCTTAAACTCAGCTATGGAGCAAAAATGTGAGGGAGAGTGCTATGCATTTCAGTTACTCAATCAATACAATTTTGACCGGTCAAAAAATATATTGAGGACAATCAATTATTTATTATTAAAAGTTAATAACTACTGGCATCCAGATCAGTCTTACCCATTCCTATTGGCCTGCTGGCATCATTAATCATTTTGACTGAGAAGGCAAAGTCCTCCAGATTGTTGGTAAAGAGACAGAATGCTTTAAATTCATCAAAGGTGATGCTCTGACAAATATATATATATATAAAAATGTCAGAAACTTTATAATATGTACATTATGGAATTATAACACTTCTACAGGATGCTATGAATGTACAATTTCAAATAACACTTCTGGTGTTGATAACATTTACTTTTATTTTACAATTCAAATGTACAATGAAATGCAAAAAAACATGCTTTTCAATTGATATCATTTTAGCCAGGTGATGGTTTTCGTCATAAATGGCACATGGCAAACAGGTCAGCAGGCTCTAGAGTCCTCTACATGCCATTTGTCTAACTCTAGGTGGACTGTAAATACCATGTACTCAGGAGTGACATCAGATTTGCTCACTCTACTCTAGGAATATGACTGATGGAGAGCTGCATGGAGCACAATTTTTCATCTATATGTTGGAAATCTCTGAAGAGTGGCCACTGGATTCTTAGCCACTTATTATTTACATTTAGAATCTATTCCTCTCAAATTATAAATAATGACCTAAGATCAGACTTTATCCAAGTCGGTTTGTGTTAAACAGCACATATGCGAAAAATATTCAGGACTATCAATGTTAGTGTTTAAAAGATGCTACCTGCCCAGTGGGGATCCTCTTTTTCATGTTTTCCCAGTATGCCTCATTGTTCTCTTCATTGGTGTAGTGAAGCAGCCATTCAGCAAAGTCCTCCCGCCTCATAGTCTTCATCCCTTTAGAAAACCGCAGAAACTCAACTTCTTGCACTTCTGCCTGCAGGTCTTCCATAAACCTACACAAAACCAAAAAAAAAAAATCCTTGCAATACATCTCTCAAGGCTAAGCAAAAGTTGAAACACAGGATAGTGTCCTATCAGTTGTAGTTAGAGAGCCGGTTTACTTATATGAACAATGTATATTCTATTAATATTCAATAGATTTTTATTTTTATTGGAGGTCTGAAGTACGTTGCTGTATTCTGCTAATCTCATGTCTATTGTCTACATTTCATAAAAACATCCTAATTTGGAAATTCTATCAATTATGCTATTTTTGTAGCATACATTAAGAAAATTATAGTTTATATCATACAGACACTAACATATTAAAGTAAACGCAGGTAGTGTGAATTTGGTGTAAAATTACTTCACCTGCAGAAATCTTTGTATTGGAGTTTTTCCTTTTTACTTATATGAACAATGTATATTCTATAACATATTCTATTAATATTCAATAGATTTTTATTTTTATTGGAGGTCTGAAGTACGTTGCTGTATTCTGCTAATCTCATGTCTATTGTCTACATTTCATAAAAACATCCTAATTTGGAAATTCTATCAATTATGCTATTTTTGTAGCATACATTAAGAAAATTATAGTTTATATCATACAGACACTAACATATTAAAGTAAACGCAGGTAGTGTGAATTTGGTGTAAAATTACTTCACCTGCAGAAATCTTTGTATTGGAGTTTTTCCTTGCCATCTTCCCCAAAAAAGAACACCTGTAGTGTAGTGTTGACCTCATCAACACTGTCTGAAAGCTGTAAAGAAAAAGACAAAGCTATTCAGTACAACAACAAAATATTCAATACAACAGAACTTTGATATTAAACACAACTAGGCACACAACATGTACCCACCTCTGTCCTATCCTGCCTTAGAAGCTCTTTCCTTGGTCGAATTACTTTCTTCAGCTTCAAAAAAGAGAGCAAAGTTCAAATAACTGACTCTTATTCACCCTTATTCTCTTGTGTTTATGCATATGTTTGTGTGTTAAGGTACAGTGGGATGTATATCCACTGTGAGATGTATATTTATATCTACCCTAAAGAAAATTATGAGTCTATTCAAATTGCTTGGGGCAGTCGTGGCATAATGGTTAGAGAGTCGGAATTGTAACCCAAAGGTCGTGGGTTCGAGTCTCAGTACCGACAGGGACTGTAGGTGAGGGAGTGAATGCACAGAGCTCTCTTCCACCCTCAATACCACGACTGAAGTGAGACCCTTGAGCAAGGCACCGAACCCGCAGCTGCTTCCGGGCACCACGGAATTGGCTGCCTACTGCGCTGGGTGTGTGTTTGTGCACTTCTCACTGCTGTGTGTGTGCACTTGGATGGGTGAAATGCAGAGCACAAATTTCAAGTATGGGTCACCATACTTGGCCACAAATCACGTCCTTTCCTTTTTAAATTAAAGTAGTTAAGCTACGTTCAAGCTACCCTTCCAGGGCTGTACGTTAACTTTTTTTTCACATAGCACTGGTGCTACAGAGGTTGAAAGTTTTGTAGCACAGGCCAAAAAGTTGTAGCACAAGTATAAAATGGCTGCCCACTGCTCCGGGTGTGTGTTCACGGTGTGTGTGTGTTCACTACTCACTACTGTGTGTGTGCACTTGCATGGGTTAAATACAGAGCACAAATCCCAAGTATGGGACACCATACTTGGCTACACGTCACATCACTTTTTTTTCAGCTTTAGTGAATTTCCTAGACCTCGACAACATGGCACACTGATACATCTGAATAGACTCAACATTTAAATCCAACTAAATTATATGAATTAAATAATAAATATAATAAAATAAAATAAAATAAATAAATAATAAATTCTAAATAATGTATGCATTTTTCTGATGCTCCTATCATGCACCAATCATGCATCAACCATTCCCACATACCTGTTGCACATCGGTCTCATCTCATGCCAGCATTAACAGAAACACAAAGCAGATACACCCTAATGACCACATTACTTACAATCCAGAATTTTTAAAATCCAGTCAGGAGAACTTTCTTTGTTCTGCACACCTTCATATAATTATACGCATTTACAACAAAGTGTTTTTAAACAACATTTACACTTATCAATTTGAGTGTGAAGGAAACACAGTGTCATATAATCAAATGTGAAAAGACATTCCATACCTTCTGAAATTCCTTCTTGTCCACATGCTCATTGCCATCAATATCAAGCATTTTGAAAGCAATATGAAATCCTGTTTGAGGTTCTGGAATCACAGTGCAGTTAAACTGAGTAAAGGAATGGATACCGACTTTCTGGAATATTCTGTGACCCCTCAAGTGAGCAAAAGAGACCCCCACCACCAAACACACACACACACGCAAATCGTATCGCTACATGGGGGAAAACTAATGAGTATAAAGCAAATTAATGAGATGATTTGGTGTATTGCAGATCAATGTCAGTCAATATCACTAATATAACTGTGATATAATTTTGATGTTATGGTAACTCCAGTATAGTTTCATAGCAAGCACTGCGTGAACATGCACAATATGAAATATATTTGGATTTGTCACTAAAATAGGAAAACTTTATATCAAAAACCAACATAGAGCTCTAAACATGCCTATTTGAATTTGTCTTTTTGTACATCTATTCCAGTGCAGACCAACTATTATCTTTGATTGTATTCAAGCAGGTAAAGAACAATAAATTGCAGTGCTGAAACTTCACCGTGATTATACAGTGAGTCCATTTTCTTCCTACCTGTCTTCTGTGAATTTTTGGGAAAGGAATGAGAATCGTAAGGACATGTTCTGATTTTATTCCACTTAATGATTTTATCAACAATTTTTAATTGTCACAAAACAAGTCATCAAATTTCTAATTCAAACTAGACTATATGCTCATGCTGTATGTTTAATACTGCATGCAATCAGTGAGTACAATGATGCACGGACCATTTATAGTGTTTGTATTATTTCACAGCAGCCAGTCACTCTTCCTTATCACATTTCAATTCAGACTGCAATCTCAGCCAAAATGATTTTTTTCCATGATGCTGTTGATTCAGTAGTGGTGCAGAACGGTGCAGAATTATTTTGATACAGTGTCAAAGAATCAGACCTCAGGAATGTCACAAAAATAACTGCAAATTGTGAAGTACAGAACAAGTCCTGCTGAAAATGAGTAACTCTGTGTCCATTTTGGCTACAAATCACTATGACTAAAAATGTGTGTCCATCTGATAATCAAGCAGCTAAAAGCACAGAAGTCTAAGCAGTGACATACAAACTCTGGACTGGCACTGATAGGACACTGTGTATGAAATTATGTGGAAAGGTTAGGAAATACTTACTTGTGAGAATAGTGAGGAGAAACAGGTACTCCGTGTAAGAGATCAGCCCTGAAACAATGGTTCAGGAGATATTCAATGTTAATATTTTTAATTAAATCACTCAATTATGTAAATAGGAATATTTTTATAAACCATACCATTTTAAAAATTAAGTTTTCATTACAGCACTTGCTCAATGAGAGGAAGTTAGTACACATAAACACATGTACTTTACTTTGGCAAGTAGACTCTGGCATATGTGAGGCATGTGTTTGCTTAACATATACCTTTGTCTCCGATTCCTCTGAACATGTTGTTTCCTGCCTCAGCCCTGGAAGCCACCCTTATCATATCATCCACATCCTGTCCATGGACCAATCAGATATTAGGCAAAACTCTGACTGTGTCAGTGAGATTTCCAGCAAAATCACACATCATACACGTCACGATCATATAATAACAGTATTCACTTAGAACAAGTCTCTGTGTTTGGAGTAACATTCATGTGAACTAACATACACACTTACTGCTTTAGTCAGCATCTTTTTCTGTAGTTTGCCTGTAAGAGAGAAAGATCAAGGATTGCTGTAACAATATTTTGCAGCATAGTGAAAATCAACAGAAAAATAGCTTTGAGGCGTGTTGTGGTGTTTGAAAAGATCTTGGATTACATTACGCCCACTACATACTTCAATGTACACCATTACATTGAATGCAAGGCCTAACATGCAGAGATGATTAGTACCAGATAAACAGCATTTTCACTCAGATGCACACTCAAACCAGAAACACGCTTATATAAATGAGAATGTAAGTGAGAAGAACGTACATGTCAGCATTTTAGGGTCTTTGTGTTGTCTGGTCTCTCGCTGTAAGATTGCTTTGATGCATGTTATTAGAATTTTGTTGATAACAGCCCTCATAAAGAGTTTACATTTTATCAAATGTGGGTACCACTTTATTTTACAGTGTCCTTGTTACACATGTTCCATGTACTTACTATGGTAATAATAGTACATTATGCATAATTACATGCAACTAACCCTAAACCAAACCATATAGTAAGTACATGTTTTTAATGAATATTAATCATTATTTACTTGTGTAATTACACTTTCAAAAGGACACCTTAAAATAAAGTGTAACCCAAATGTCCAGTAGAACAAGAATGCAAGCACAATATCACATACTAATTTATACATAATACTGCCTGCCTAGTGTTTGTTTGTTTATTTGTTTTTGAGTGTTCATACATCCATATGGTGGTATGTCACTTACGGTCCACCTTCTCCATCATGACTGAATGGAGGAAGTCTCTGGGTGTCATGTATGGCTCCTCTTCATAGATCATGGAGGCAAACTGGTTAAACCGCAGACGTCTCATGGACACTGGTGGTACTGCGATCTCCTCCTTCTTTACAGATATACAAAAATGGAGAGAAATAGCAGATGTTTTATTTATGAGCAGTGCACCTCTACTCTATTTAGAGCTAGACTTGGACTCTATAATTATAAAACATTAGAATTGTGAATTATTTTCTTTGCAGTATATTGAAATAATGTTGAAACTGGAAAGTTCAGTGCCTTTTTAAACAAAAAGTCGGTGCCAATTCTATGACATTAAGCAGGAGGCAAGAAGGGGAGCAGTAATGTTATTAACTAAAATGAAACGCAAATTCTATAAATATATAATATAAAAAATTATATAAATATAAAATATTAAAAATTATTTTCATTAGTAGAAAAAAGCTAAATGAATACAAAATATAAATATTAGATGAAAAACTTTAAAAACTTAAAAATTGTAAATGTTGCCTTGACAAATAACTGAAATAATTAAGATGAAAACTTAAGTTTAAGTTTTAAACTAGTTTTAAACTTAAAGTTAAATTGAAATATTAAAAACTTATAAAAAAGACAATTGCACATAACAAAATTCTAAAACTTTAAAATTAAAATGTAAAGTATAAATATAAAAGTAAAACTAATTTAAAATATCAATGGATTCTATTATAATATATAAATACTAAAATAATACCGCAGGAGAGACATTGTGGACTCAAGATTTCATATTTGTTACTTTCTTTTGCAAAACAATAATTAAATACATTTATTAAAAAAAATATAATTTTCTTCAGCAAAGGTTTAAAATGAATAAAACACCTGTTATCATAAGAATACCTTAAAACAGTTTAAGCTGTTTATTGAATTTTTATGGTTACAGCAATATGTGGTCATGGTCATGGATATTAACTTCAATAATGAACTCCTGGCTCTGACTGTAACATCTTACTCTTTAAATTAGTTCTGTAGATTTTACAGATTTTAATTACACAATGAGTCATTAACCATACATTTAATTATGTTCCTAGTTGACACATACCGGTTAGGGATGTGCGCGACGACTAATTTGACTGTCGTTTAAACGAAAGTTTTGTATCCGACTAGTCTAAAAGCAAGAAACCCCCAAAAGATGGTAAGAAAAAAAAAACTCTGTGCGTGCGAGTAGCATATATTATAGCCTATATTTGAAATACTTAATCTATGAATCACACTGTCAAATCCCTCAATGAATTCCACTTGCCGCACACTTGCCTCGCGTTATCATCATTTCATTTTAGGCGGTCGTTAAAAAAAAAAAAAAAAAAAAAAGAAGAGTATACTACTCAACGTCGGCCAAAGCATAGCTTATTTATTCAAATCAGCTGGGGAAATGCAGAACAATGGAAAATCAATCAATAGCCTGACAGAATTCTTAATCTTCATATAACGTTATTAAACACAAGTCAAAAACAATAGGAAGGTTTATCAAGAAATAGCATTAAAACGACTTTTAAAAACGTACTCCGTGTACGCTATATCGTCTAAAAACAAAACAATGCAACAATGCCCATTTTACTTACTCAGACCATGCGTTATTTGTTCAGTGAAATTATCAACGTGGTCTGGTGAAAGACGGGACCTGAGGCGATTAACAATAAAATTCCTGCACTTGAAAAAACGCGCTCGGCAGGAACTGAAGTCGCAGGCACGCAGAGATAACGAAAAGCAAGCCGATAAGAGTTTCAGAAAGCGCCTGGACATCCCGCACCACCACCGAAGTGGGTGTTTGTTAGAGGAATAGACGGCGCGGACGGGACCGCAGCGCCGGCCGGTTGTAGTGAATGACGTGATTGACATTTGCTGGCTTTGGTAGAGGTTCTCAACCTTTTTTTCCACTGGGCCGCACTATGGTCCAAGTGCAAGTCTCACGGGCCGCAAGCATATCATTTACATATTACGTCACCAATACAAACCAACCAGAATTATAATAGCCTATTATAGCCTAAATATTATGATATCTAATCGATTACATTCATTGAAATAAATAATTATACTCCCCATTAATAAAACACCTGATGCTGTTGGGAGCTGACCAATTTTGTGAAATTCGGCTCGAAAGGAGTAACAGCACAATGAAGTTGCGATTGTAAGTTGCAGTCTGTAAAACGCGCACGGAAGCGCGACTTTGCAGAAAATGTGCGTTCACAAATGTAGCCTATGTTGATCCAAATATGGAAAGCACTTTCGAGTTTAATAATCTGAGGTTCTCTCCAGAGATGTTTTGCCACATTTCTAAAGACGGGCTCGGGCCGGTAATTCTGATAAGCTGTCGGACACGGCCGGGCTAGGGCCTGAGCGTCTCGGGCCGCAGGTTGAGAACCACTGCTCCAAGCTAACGCCTACGTGCCTGTATTGAATATAATTACGCATCGCTCCAGTAGAGCTATTGTAAGACAGTTTGACATTACACCGTTTACACAAAACTTTTCCGTTTCCTTCTAATTCAAAATAATCCCAGTATGGTCATTTTTGAACTCGCCGTAACTGACACGAAGAAAACGCATGCGAGGTCTGAGGTAAAAATGTAGTTTCCGCCCAGATAAACTTTTAAAAAG